CGCTTATGCTAATGAAGCCCGGGAAATTCAAATCCCGGGCTTCATTAGCAAGTGCGGTATGCATACATTACCCCGCTAGTTCGAACTAGGAGGGTAGTGTAGACATACCCTCAGGGTGGGACCGTGGCACCTGCCCTTTGCCAGAGCCCAGGCCAGGATCCCACCCTGGCGACACCGCAGGGCCTGAGCAGATGTGACCAAGACCAGCAAGCAGTGGTGTCCCAAATTCAAATCCCGGGCTTCATTAGCAAGTGCGGTATGCATACATTACCCCGCTAGTTCGAACTAGGAGGGTAGTGTAGACATACCCTCAGGGTGGGACCGTGGCACCTGCCCTTTGCCAGAGCCCAGGCCAGGATCCCACCCTGGCGACACCGCAGGGCCTGAGCAGATGTGACCAAGACCAGCAAGCAGTGGTGTCCCAGGGCAGGTCCCAGCATGGAATGGGAGCGAGGCGGCTGCCTGGGTTCAAGCACAGAACCAGAGCAAAGTGGAGCGTGGCTCTAGGAGCACCCTGCGGGGGGACTCCGCGCCGTGGGGCCGTTCCCCTGGGAAGGTGACATCAGCTTGTTCCTCCAGCCCCAGGTTCCATCCTGTGCTGGGAGCTGCCAGACCCCCTGTGCTGGATCCAGGGGAGCAGCCTCGCAGCTGTTTGCCCACCCCCAGCAACACTGAGGGGCGCCAGCTTCCATTTGCACACACACCCTCGCTCCCGTTTGGGCCTTCCCGCCCGAGTCCTGGCCCCGCCTCTTTCTGATGCTCCCCCCCCAGTGTCCCAGCCCTTCCCTCTCTCTCACTCTCCCCTCCCTCCCTCATGTGGCTCTGCTCCAGCATTGGGAGGGCGTGGGGGGGAGAGGGAGGAGGCTTCATTTGCTCCCCTGCCTTCAGCAGACTTTCCCAGCTCCTATTGGCCGGACACTGGGGCAGCGCAGGGAGCTTTCCCCTCCCTGCTCAGATTCACAGCAAGGAGCAGCCTGCATAGGGTTGCCAGGTGTCTGGTTTTGAACCAGACAGTCCAGTATTGGAGCTTTCTGTTCGGGAAACAAATTGAGAAAATAGAAATGAGACAATAGAAATGTCGGGTATTTTCTAAATGGGATGTAATGCAGATTGGGATGTCATGTCAAATGTGTCCGGTATGTTTCTTGAAACCGACTGGCAACCCTAAGCCTGCTCTTCGAAGTGGCTGCAGCTGCTCTGCAGTAAGAGTGCTGGCGAGGGGGCCGTGGGCTGGATCAGGCACCGTGGCGGCTGGATCTGGCCTGCAAGCCTCCTCTTGCCCACCCTGGGTTAGAGTGAGAGTGTGTGGGGGGAGGGAGTGGTTTCTATTCCCTGTGTGTACAAGGCTCCCTGTGTGACTGGGTTAAGCTGAGCCCTGTCTCTGTGCCTCTGTAAAGCAGGGGCACTGGTTATGACCCATTTCCAGGGGCACAGTTATCGGCCTCTGGCCCTGCAGCCTCTGGGCTCTTCCCACAGCCCGGAGTAGGCATCCCAACAGCTGTTTGCTTTGCCAGATGTCAGGCTAGGCTGGTGGGGGGCCCCCACAGCTGCGCCGGGCGAGTGGAGGTGCTTGTGGCCGGGCGCTGGGGCACCGTGTGTGACGACGGCTGGGACGAGAAGGACGTGGCCGTGGTGTGCAGGCAGCTGGGCTGTGGACAGGCTGTGGGAGCGACGAATAGCAGAGTGATCGGTCCAGGCCCCAAGTCACAGCCTGTCCTGCTGATGGATGTGCAGTGCCAGGGGACGGAGGCGGCGCTGAGGAACTGCACCTACAAGGATCCTGGGGGCAACTGTGATCACAGGGAGGACGCGGAGGCTCACTGCCAAGGTGAGCTGGCCTGGAGATCCCTGGACAGCCCTGGCTCAGGGGAGAGATGGGAGGATTTCTGGGGTTCCAGGTTCGGGGCTGAGTTCCGACTCAATGGCCTTGCTGGGTGAACGCTGCACGGTCGGCCCTTGTGGCAGGGAGGGACCTGGGGCTGTTTGGGGCATGGAGAGCACTGGAGTGTCAGAGGGGTTTGCTTGTGAGTCTTCTGGCTGGCCAGGCAGGCAGGTGAAGCGCTCTGGGGGACTGGTTTGTGGCCTATTTGGGAAGGTCTCCAGTCTGGGGGCTGTAAGGAGCCCCGAATTTGAGCAATTTGCCTTGAGCGGACGCCCTCAGCTGTGCCCAGACCTAGCTCGGTCTGTCACGGTGGCGTAGTCGGCAGGATACTGTGACAGACTGGGCCGGGTCTGGGCACAGCTGAGGTCGTCCGCGCAGGGCGAATTGCTCAAATTCAGGGCTCCTCACAGCCCCCGGACTGGAGACCTTCCCAAACAGGCCACTAACCAGTCCTCCAGTCCACTTCAGCTGCCTGCCTGGCCAGCCAGAAGCCTCACAAGCAAAACCCCTCTGACACTCCAGTGCTCTCCGTGCCCCAAACATCCCTGGGCCTGCCCACAGGTGAGGGGTCTTAGAACCTAATCCCACCTACCCCGAACAAGTTCTGTCCAGTTCCAAGAAACCAGCCACAGATCCCTGGTCAATTTACCCTCCGGATCTTACCCACAACTCACGCTGGGCCAATGCATTAGAATCTAATATCTAAAGGTTTATCACTAAAAGAAAGAAAAGCGCGAGAGTAAGGTCATACATTACATGCTTCAAATCTCCCAGTTCTCAATGCAGGCTTGCAGCAGAGATGTTATAACTGCTGGTTTAAAAGTCTTTGGTGTACATCCTACATCAGGATGGGTCCACACTTCTTTGCAGCTCCTTGATCCCTGCACTCTTGCCTCTGGAATGAAAAGCTAAGCTGAGCACCAAGATGGAGTGGGCCACATGGCATATTTATATCCCTCCGCCCCCCCCCCTCCCCGGCTTCTTCCAAGCTGGGGACAGTCACATGGTCAGTGTCCAGGTGTGTCTTTGGCCTTCAGAGGTCTGTTGTTCCATGGAGACTTGCTCATTAGCATGTCCATAGGCTGAGCATTCTTCGTCTATTGCTCAGCCACAAACAGAAGTTTCCAATATTGACACAGAGTACATAGCTATAATGTCACACCCAGACATTATACAGGTACATGAAGAGCATATATAGAATCAGAAGGAAGTAAGCTTTCATTTGACACCTCACATGAACCCCTTTGTACCACTTTTGGGGCAACCCCCCCCCATGGGTGCAGCAGTGATCTGGCTGCTTCCCTAAAATGCAGTAACATGACAGGGCTGTTCTGTGCACCAGGGCTGGAGCTGGGGCCAGCCTGGGCCTCCCCCGTTCTCCCAAGTCCTAGCACCTCTCAGCGCTTTTTCTTAACGGCTCTGGACTCTGCACTACCCGGCGCCACCTTCCCGCAGGTGCCGTGTTGGAGTGCGAGGGCCCCTCTGTGCTCCTGACGGTTTCCTCTTCCCTCCCCAGCTGCCAGCGTGGGAGTCTCTGCCCCCTCAGGAACGTATGTCAGGGTGGGCCCCTGGCACCTGCCCTTTGCTAGAGCCCAGGCCAGGATCCCACCCCAGTGTCACGGCAGGGCCTGAGCAGAGGTGACCACCACGTGCTTTGCAAAAACAGCTGCCCTAGGGCAGGTCCCAGCAGGCAGTGGGAGTGAGGCGGCTCCCTGGGTTCAAGCACAGAACCAGAGCAAAGTGGAGCGTGGCTCTAGGAGCGCCCGGCGGGGGGACTCTGCGCCGTGGGGCCGTTCCCCTGGGAAGGTGACATCAGCTTGTTCCTCCAGCCCCAGCCGCTCTGGTTTGTCCTTCTGCTGCCGGCCCAGCCTGCACTGGGAGCTGCCAGGCCCCCTGCGCTGGATCCAGGGGAGCAGACTCTCAGCTGTTTGCCCACCCCCAGCAACACGGAGGGGCGCCAGCTTTCCACTTGCACAAACACCCTCTCTCCTCCTCTGGCCCTTCCCACCCTAGTCCTTGCCCTGCTCCTCTCTCTCCCCGCCCTCCCTCCTGCAGCTCAGCTACAGCATGGAGGGAGGGGAAGGGGGGAGATGGAGGAGGCTTCATTGGCTCCCCTGCCTTTAGCAGAATTTCCCAGGCCCTATTGGCCGGACACTGGGGACAGTGCAGGGAGCAGCCTGGTCTTTGAAGTAATTGCAGCTGCTCTGCAGTAAGAGTGCTGGTCAGGGGGCCGTGAGCTGGATCTGGCACCGTGGTGGCCGGATCTGGTCCGCAAACCGCCTCTTGCCCTCCCTGGGTTAGAGTGTATGTGTGTGGGGGGAGGGGGTGGATTCTATTCCCTGTGTGCACAAGGCTCACTGTGTGACCAAGGGTAAACTGAGTCCTTACTCTGTGCCTCAGTTTCCCTTCTGTAAAGCAGGGGCACTAGTTATGACCCATTTCCAGGTGCTCAGTTACCGGCCTCTGGCCCTGCAGCCTCTGGGTCCTTCCCCGCAGCCCTGAGCGGGCGTCCCAGCAGCTGTTTCCTTTGCCAGATGTCAGGCTGGTGGGGGGCCCCCACAGCTGCGCCGGGCGAGTGGAGGTGCTTGTGGACGGGCGCTGGGGCACCGTGTGTGACGACGGCTGGGACGAGAAGGACGTGGCCGTGGTGTGCAGGCAGCTGGAAGTGACAAATAGCAGCGTGTTCAGCCCGGGCCCCAAGTCACAACCTGTCCTGATGACGGACGTGCAGTGCTGGAGGACGGAGGCGGCGCTGGAGACCTGCACGTATGAGGTTCCTGGAGACAACTGTGACTACGTGGGGGCTCGTTGCCAAGGTGAGCTGGCCTGGAGAGCCCTGAACAACCCTGGCTCAGGGGAGAGACGGGAGGATTTCTGGGGTCCCAAGTTGGGGGCTGAGTTCTGAGTCACTGGCCTTGCTGGGTGAGCGCTGCACAGTCGACCCTTGTGGCAGGGAGGGACCCGGCAGGTCCTGGGCTTGGGACAAGCAGGGCCTGGGCTCCACTTTCTGGACTTCGTGAGAGTCCACACAACCCCCCCGTGACTGACACCCCCCAACAGGGCTGGGAGCCAGGTCTCGGGCACCCACCTTGCCCCAGGTGCTAGGACTCAAGGCAGTTCATTTTAAAAAACCTCGATCAGTTCCTAGGGCCCGGTGGGAACGGCACCTGCCCTTACCCATTCCCAGATCTCAGGGAGGACTCTGCGGGATTGCAGGGCCTTTTCGCCAGTGAAAAGCCTGACACAGTGACAGCCGGATCTGCAGTGTGTTAACAGTCACCAAAGCAGCACACACACACACACACACACACACACACTATACAGAACCCCCTACAACTGTGCTTCTGCCTTGGTGCGGGTGCCTCAGTGTGTGTCAGGCACCCACCTTGTATCCTCCTGGGGGGGCTCACAGAACTCGCCTGTTCTCCCCCCCAGGCTGTGCTGAGCCCATCCCTGCCGCGTGCCCTGTACAGGGAGGGGGGCTCAGTCTGTGCTGGTGGGATTGTGCCCTGATGGGGCTGTTCTGTGCACCACGATGGGCCACTGGCCTGGGACTGCCCCGGTCTCCTAGGTCCCAGCCCCTGTCACTGCCATGTCTGGCCCCAAGTGCTCTGAATTCTGCCCCACCTGGTGCCACCTTCCTGCAGGTGCCGTGGGGCTGGGAAGCTTTGGGATGTGAGGGCCCCTCTCTGCTCCTGATGGTTTCCTCTTCTCTTTGGGGTGCGAGGGCCCCTCTCGGGCCACTGGCCTGGGACTGCCCCGGTCTCCTAGGTCCCAGCCCCTGTCACTGCCATGTCTGGCCCCAAGTGCTCTGAATTCTGCCCCACCTGGTGCCACCTTCCTGCAGGTGCCGTGGGGCTGGGAAGCTTTGGGATGTGAGGGCCCCTCTCTGCTCCTGATGGTTTCCTCTTCTCTTTGGGGTGCGAGGGCCCCTCTCTGCTTCGACGGTTTCCCCTTCTCTCCTCAGCTGCCAGTGTGCAAGTCTCTGCCCCCTCAATGCCAGAGCCCAGGCCAGGATCCCACCCCGGTGTCACGGCAGGGCCTGAACAGAAGTGACCACGACCCGCTTTGTATAGTCAGGTGTCCGAGCGCAGGTCCCAGCAGGCAGTGGGAGCGAGGCGGCTCCCTGGGTTCAAGCACAGAACCAGAGCAAACGAGCGTGGCTCTAGGAGCGCCCTGCGGGGGGACTCCTCGCCGTGGGGCCGTTCCCCTGGGAAGGTGACATCAGCTTGTTCCTCCAGCCCCAGCCGCTCTGGTTTGTCCTTGTGCTGCCGGGCCCAGCCTGCACTGGGAGCTGCCAGACCCCCTGCGCTGGATCCAGGGAAGAGACCCCCAGCTGTTTGCCCACCCCCAGCAACACGGAGGGGCGCCAGCTTTCCACTTGCACAAACACCCTCGCTCCCTCTCCTCCCTTCCTGCCCAGTCCTTGCCCTGCCCCTCTCTGATGCCCCATCCATGGTATCCCGGACCCTCGCTCTGTCTCTAGCTCTTCCCACCCTCCCTCATGTGGCCTCCGCTGCAGCACAGAGAGCGGAGAGGACGGAGAGAGGGAAATGAGGAGGCTTCATTTGCTACCCTGGCTTCAGCAGAATTTCCCAGCTCCTATTGGCCGGACACTGGGGCAGTGCAGGGAGCTTTCCCCTCCCTGTGCAGATTCACAGCAAGGAGCAGCCTGCTCTGTGAAGTGGCTGCAGCTGCTCTGCAGTAAGAGTGCTGGCGAGGGGGCCGTGGCAGGAGCCAGGCACCGTGGCGGCTGGGTCTGGGCCGCAAGGCCCCCCCTGTCCCC